ACAAAACTGATGGTCTTTGGATTGGAAAACTGAAAAATTCTAAAAGAAAGATAGGCGGAATAAACTGGCCAGAAGTACCAATAAAGTCATTAGGGGTATATTTCAGTAATAAAAAAAATGAATGTGAAAAGCTTAACTGGGATGAAAAAATTACAAATACAAAAATATGTCTTAATATGTGGAAAAGAAGAGATCTAACTTTTATTGGTAAAACAGTAATTATTAAAAGTATTATATTATCCAAATTTACATACCTTGCACAATCTTTGATAATTCCCCAAAAAGTAATAATAGAACTGGAGAAAATTATATACAACTTCTTATGGTCTGGTAAAAGAGAAAAAACTAAACAAAAAACCCTAATTGAACAAGTGGTATCTGGAGGGATAAACTTTCCAGACTTGGAAGCATATTTTACAAATCTAAAAATAAAGTGGATCAAAACACTAATAAAAGAAAATTAAACACTCCTGCGAACTGGAAAATCATACCAAACTACTTTTTAAACAATTATGGGAAAGACCTGCTCATTTTTAAAATGAATCTAGACCAAATTAAATCTCTACCAAAAATAAAAGAAACACCATTATTTTATCAGGAAGTTATAAAAGCTTGGATTACACTGGGTGGAGGACAAACGAAAAATTATCTCAATCAGCTGGAAATAAGAAAACAACCAATATGGGGAAACAAACATATCAAAATCAAAAATAAAGTACTAATTTTTACTAACTGGATAAATTCAGGTATACTACTAATTGACAATATTTTTGAGAATGGTTCCATCTCTTAAATAAAGATTTTATCAAACTTAAAAAACAAAAGAAACTGGATGTCAGAACTAACACAATTAAAACAGGCTATACTGAAGGAATGGGTGAATAAACTCAAACTTACACCCTACCCAACATTACACTACAAAACACAATTGAAAGTTTTAGACAGCACTACCAATAAAACAATCTCTATAGAACAGCTAAACAGCAAAACTTCCTACGGCATATTAATAAAACAGAAATTTATCAAACCCTATATATATGAAGCGTGGAATAAAACATTTGATACATCTATAAGAAAATCAAGATGGTCTGAAATAGCAGAATTCATATTCAAGAAAATATAAGATAATAGAGTTGTTCAATTTAAATATAAACTCATTAATCAAATGGTTCCTACACAGCAACAACTTGAAAAATGGAAAATTTCAAACACCCCAAATTGTAAACATTGTGGGAAATGTGAAGACTACAAGCATTAATTACTTTGTAGAATGCTCCTACTTAAAAACGTTCTGGGAAAAGGTCAGTTCAGCAATGTCAACATGTATAATAAACAAAAGCAGAATGTTAGAATTTATATAGTAATGGGAAACAACATCAGCGTCCCTGTATATGAAACACCCAACATTATATATACACTAATAGGACACTCCATTTACAGAACATACCACATAAGTGAATGCAAAACCTTATCAATAAATGTTATAAATATATTGAAACAAGATCTGGAAAACTATTTATGGAAAACGAAATCAATACAACAGAAAAAAGACCTGAACCTGTTTTCTTCTAGCATCTGATACACTAGTGAATATAATAATAACGAAATATTGTAGGCCAGAGTGTTTCTAGTATATCTATATGGCAAATACTTACTTGTCGTAGCGATCCACATTTCTACTCTCTGTTTTAGTGTAACAAGTTCTGCGTCTTTACAGATCTAACAAGTAAGCTGATCTTACAACACAGCTTCATCAATAGCAACCCCAAAAAACCCTTTTCACAATATAAAATTAAAAAACAAACATGTAAGGCATACTCAAATGATTTACAAGCACGTTTAGACTGCCTAATATTGTCATACCACAGCGCGGCGTGTTTCCATCTTGCTACTATTAATACACACAGCCAAGGTCAAGGCCGACTTGTTCCGTAAGTGAAGCCCAGTACAGGGTAATCCACCTGGAGGCGCGGCAAAGGGAGTGTATGCATATATGTATATGTAAGGATAATTTGTACGGTAACTTTGAATGTAAGTTTGAATGTAAGTAAAAATGTTAAATAAGGCAGAAAAAATAAAGAAATAATAATATAATTACAAGTAAGTATGAAAGTTAGTATGATAGCTCTCTTGTATGAGGACATATGATTGTGAAGATGCTGATCCCGGGGCTTCCCAACCTCGGCAGTATCCTTAATGTGCTGGGGAAGTAAAATGTTTGAAAAAAAAAAAAAAAAAAAAACCCACATGATATATTTCACCGGCGTTTCCCGCATTTCATTTACAAAGATATACCTTTTATGAGGATTTGTGCATATGTTCAAAAAGGCCAATACATTGTCTGAGATTGAAGGCGGTGTGGGGGAAAGGGGTGGGCTGGGGTAGTCTGTTGCAAGGATTAAAGGTAAAAGGCCAATATTTAATGCATATACTGTTTGTAGATCGGAGATGGAGGGGAGGGGGAGAGGATGGGGGAGAGGGGAGGGGGAGGGCAACTTTCGAGTTAAGAAATGTTCTTACTTCGTGCAGCGTTATGAAATATTTACTTGCAGTTTTAGCAGATTTTTTTCACAGCAAACAAATCTTTGAATTTTGTGCACATGTAGCTTTAGTCGTTTAGTATCTAGTATCTTGGAAAAGATAGCATTTGCACACAGTAAGGACTGGTCAAACTTAATGCTTGATGCTGCAAATATTGCTCAACCAATTGACATAGATGCAAGTGATGACTCTTGCAAAGAGGAGTGACAGTGGTATCTAGGTATGATGCAGTGTTCTAATTTTAAAGGAAAACACATTTTTAGCTCACCTGGCACTTCTTCACCTGGCACGAAGTGCCAAGTGAGCTTATGCCGTGGTGCAGCGTCCGTCGTCCGGTGTCAATATTTTACTTTAAACGACTTCTTAATAACCGAAAGGCCTAGGGTGTCGATATTTGGTCAGAAGCAAACTAGGATGAAGGGCTACAAAGTTTGTTAAAATTAATGACCTTCACCTATTTTCAAGGTCACAGAGGTCAAATATGTTAAAAACTTTAAACATCTTCTTCTCGATAACCAAAATGCCCAAGGATATGATATTTGGCCAGTAGCATGCTTGGGTGAAGGGCTACCAAATTTGTTCAAATGAATGACCTTCAATTATATTCAAGGTCACAGGGGTCAATTGTCTTAAAAAACCTTTAAACAACTTCTTCTGAATAACCAAAATGCCCAGGGTGATGATATTTGGCCAGTAGCATGCTGAGATGAAGGGCTACAAAGTTTGTTCAAATGAATGACCTTCACCCATATTCAAGGTCACAGGGGTCAAATATGTTAAAAAC